GGTAGGAGGAGCGCGTAGTAGGTAGGAGTCCCTACAGGACTGACCCCACCCCCATGGGGCATGCGTGTCTGTGCAGGCCGTGTCCAGCAGGAGATCGATGAAGTGATAGGCCAGGGGCGGCGCCCAGAGATGGGGGACCAGGCCCGCATGCCCTTCACCAATGCCGTGATTCATGAGGTACAGTTCTTTCGGCACATTGACCCATTGGGTACACCCCACATGACGTCCCGTGACACTGAAGTTCAGGGCTTCCTCATCCTCAAGATAGGTGTGGGGTCCCTCTTTCCAACATGACCACTCCCAGGTGAGGCCAGGAGCACCCAGGTGACCCAATCCGTGTGTGCAATGCTGTAAATGTACAGCTGCCCTGTCCCCACAGAGCCGCCAGGGTGACAATAAACTAAAACAAGTGACAATAAACTAAATAGTGACAATAAACTAAAACAAGCCAGAGAGTGTTGGAAGACTTGCTCTAGGCAGGAGCAGGTGGCAGCTAGGCACCCATGGGAGTATTGCCATGTGGCATTGCCATGCTGAGAAGCCTGGGGCTGAGGGCTTCTGGAAGGGTCCGGGCATGGGGCAGGACCTCCTACCCCTGCGTGCTTACTGGAGGGCTCTGGGCTCCTCACCTGGTGCACTTCATGCCAGAGACCTTCCGACAGGGGACCACGCTCATCACCAACCTGTCCTCTGTGCTGAACGATGAGACGGTCTGGGAGAAGCTCTATCGCTTCCACCCTGGACACTTCCTGGACAGTGAGGGCCGCTTTGTGAAGCGCGGGGCCTTCATGCCCTTCTCAGCAGGTGCTTGCATCTTGTGTACCTGGTCCCTGCTCCCTTTTCAGGGCATCTTGGAGGCAAAGAGCCCAGGCCCCAGTCTGACTACCCCATCCCCACCCACATCCTTGACCCCAGATACACTTGTCACAAAAGACAACCAATGCCTAAAGGTAATCCTCCAGGAAACTATCAGAAATTAAGCTTTTTCTTTTTTTTTAATATCAGGATCAAACTTACATATGGTAACTTAGTTATGGTATCTCTACTGCACAGGCCTGAATGCATTTTCATGAGCATCTGTTCCTTTCTCTGTGTCTCTCTCTCTCTCTATCTTTGTTTCTCTCCCTCTGTCCTGGTTTGCTGCTGATTTGCTTAGTCTGTGTTGAATGCAAGGACTTGTGTACACTCAGCAGGCAGTCTACAACTAAGCTCTACCTGCGGGGTCACACTTAACTTTGTGTCAGGTGGTACAAAGTACATGAATAAGGGTCATCCATCACCACCATCCACCCCCAGATCTCTTTTCATCTGATCAGCTTGAAGCTTTAGTCTTGTGGTCTCCAACCTTGTGACACCAGGGACTGGCTTTGTGGAAGACAACTTTCCCATGGACAAGGACTATGGGAATGGCTTCAAAATGATTCAAGTTGGCAGCGGGGAGCGCCGGCCTTTGGGCCGGCCCCTAGCCATGCAGGCACCCAGGAGGTGGGCAGCTGGCACCTGGGAAGCTGTGTGGTGGTGTGCACTGGCGCGCGCCCACCCTCAACTCAGCCACCACTGTGCGGTCGAGAACTATCATGGCACAGAGAAGTGATGACACAATTGGCCCGCCATGCACCAGCTGAGGAGGCCTGCCTGGGGATGTGCGTGTATCATCCCGATGTGGAGAAACCCCTGGGAATACATGCCACACAACAGGTCACTCTTGCCCCTGTCCTTGAGAACCA